TCATAGTGGTAGATATCTAATTGTGCAACGAGTCTCTCCCATCAAAAAACTTAAAGTAGGGTTAGAAGCTGTGCCGTGAAAGACTACTTTTGGTTTTACTCGATCCAGCTGATTCATTTGGACCCAGATAGGGGTAGTGCAAAAAACCAAACCAGTAGTTTTCTAGTATCCCTGCTTACTTAGATAGACGAGAATACTGTTTATACTTCTCGCTTTCTGGGAATAATTGGTCTATGTTGGTGGATTTTGAGGACGAATTTGACAGATTTTCCCCTTCCCCTTGGAAAACGTGACATTTTGTCCATCAGACTTTTGCTAAAATTTCGCAGAACTGCGACAAATTTGCTCCTCCAGGGTACGGAACGAACAAAGGTGTACAGTATAGGTCGTGACTCCATGTACTACGTCCTTTTGTATGGATTTTACGTATGTCCACGTTGGGGGGAATCTAAGAATGAAAAGTGCGAAAGCGAAACAATGGTTACGGCAATCAAACGGTACAGTATAGTTCCACGCGGCTTCGCTATGTTACTTCAGTACAGTTTGCTTAGTCACAGGGTTCCCTCGTACACCGGTACGTTGATTATATGGGAAATCTTGAAGCACTTACCTGTTGTGTGCACGCCACCCTTTCCAGGTTTTCACGGTGCCCGCACTGGTACACAGAATTTTCGTTAGTTGCTGCCCCATCTATAGGAAGATTGTTTTGGAATTTGTCTATCAAAGTCTTTCATCAGCTAAAATTCCGACATTCCTGTAGGATACATTTTCCCCGTTCACAAGCGATTACGTAGGCTCGCTCGCTGTCCTCCAGCGTGGTCCAGCGAACTGTTTTATGGTTCCTATTCACAGCATGCCTCATTACTGAGTGGTATTTTGAGCACAAGCAGACCACTGTATTCGTGACCATCACTGGTTGATCATCTCGTTATCGTTCGTGTATGGTGCAGCTCAAAGGCAGTCACTTATTAATTCAATGTGGCAGCCTCAATGCAGTTTTGATCCCTGTCAGCACGCAGCTTAATCCTTCGGAAGTTTTCTACGACAGGAATCAATTAACCGTAAGCTTACCTAGATGATGAGATTTGCAAGCAGGACAACATTTCGAAGGTCACCCACCCAAAACCTCACATTTATTGACACTCATTTCAAGCTGGAAGCAACTGCATACCATTGGATTCGTTCAAGACAAAGACAGAGAGCCGCAGACCGGTGACTGCATTTGATCTGGTGAAATGCGTTCCACTGCGTAATACTACGCTCCTGTGTCTTAATGTGGATAACCTGAGTGCGGTGCAAGATGGCTCAAGTGGTTAGAGCGGAAGGTCCGTGGGTCGAACCCGACTTCACCTGTCTAGGCTTGGGCAACCTGGCAGTATCCCGGCCCTCGTGCTTCCTTCGGGTAGCATGGCAGCTAGGCACCGGAAGGGTGTTACAGCTGAGAGAGTACGCCGCCGCCCCATTCCTGTCTGATGAATACATCTTTTTCGACGCTATACCCATGGGAGGACCCGAATGCGCTGAAATAGGTACGAAAATACCCCCGAAATGCTCCCGTTCGCTTTACTCATTTGGTTCCTTCGCAGCCGCCGTAAACCACTTCTATGATTCCGAAGTCAGTAACGGAACATGACTAGCTGACCTAACTCTACAGCGTCGTCGAGGCTCTTTCTGTCACCGTGCTAAAGGTCACAGGTTCACGTTCAAGCCGAAGGTATCTGGGAAATAGCGCTTATCGATTCCAGAGAGCCATTTCTGTGTCCTCAGTGTATATGGGCTTGTCTTGACAACTAACATCCCAAGTTTGAGGGTGTCTACGGAATTCTCGTGCTACGATGTTTGTCTTCTCTAGGCTTGGACAGTTTCTCAGCCTTCATTGGTTTCCTTTGGCTGTGTTGGAAACTACGTACCGAAAGGGTACCGCTGCTTAGGGATTTGATTAAATTAGTAAGTCATTGTTTTCCACAGGTTTTCATTGCAATCAGTCGTTGACTGGTATGCTGGTTGTTTTCCACCTTGTGAGCAGTGTCTTTCAAGAAAGCATCCCAGTGAGTTTTCTCAGCAAACCTTCATCAGCCACTGAGGGTAAAAGGCAGAGCGGAAAATCGATTTTTTCTAGAAGTGACCGTTTCACTGCTGACTGCATTTCATCTTCCTTTTCGATAAGGTGATCATGTCATGAATCATTCATTATATTTGATTTGTTATGTGCTTCTGTTCCCCCCCCCCCCCCCACAGTATCGCGTATGGAAGCAAAGGAGGCAGAATGGAAAAAGGATGGCGTCCGCCTACATGAACGCATAAACGAACTTATACGTTCGAACCTCGAACTGACCAATCAAGTGAAGTTTGCTAATCGTCAGCGTCCTACCTCTGGACGTCCCTCACAAGTTCGTATGGGTTCATCTGCTGCACCAGCCATGGTCTTGTATGAGGATCTTGTGCCAGAACGTAAGCAATAAATGGTGTTTCCACGCTAGAAACGGAAATTCCCTCACATGCATCATGCTCTAGTCCCCCGATACACCGCTGGTTCATGTGATAAAGTGCCCTGATCATTTTGAGTGATAATCTCCACTAGGAAAGGCGAAGCATCTTCACATATTCTCTCTGTTGTTTCACCCAGTTGTTGATCGACCGGAAATTCCGTGGTTCGAACCCGACCTCTGCTTCTCGACTTCCCCTGTCTAGACTTGGGCAACCTGGCAGTATCCCAGCCCTCGTACTTCCTTCTGGTGGCATGGCAGTGAGGCACTGAAAGGGTGCTATAGCTGAACTATTATCTATTTTTTTAATTTTTATACAGATTTTCTGTAATGCTGAGGAGGCCTTTTTCAGAATTTCTTCTATCTGGGTGGTCAGTTTATCCTGATAACAGACACACTAATCTTTCTCATAAAGGAAACTACTCACAAGGTTTCCGAAAACTCTTGGACATCCCACGACCGGTTCCGCCCTTGTTGGGGCTCATCAGGTAGACGCATTCCCCTGGTTTCCATCAACCTTGTGTTCTTCTTGAAGCCAAATGGGACTGATTTCGACAAATTCACTCATTTGCAAATCAGTTTGGTTTTCCCGAGAGACTCAACTGAATCTCTCGTTGTAGAATATCATAAACGAGAGATTCAGTTGAGTATCTCGTGAAAACCAAATTGATTTGCAAATGAGTGTATTCTTCGACACGATAATCTGTTCTTCAAACTGTCGACCAAACGTTGCGGCGCTTTGGTTTCTTAATTTGGTCTCACGTTTTCACAACGCATTTTAACAACTGATTTACTTCCCAATGCGTTGTGGATTTTTTACATAAGATTTGCATAAGAATGATTCGCCTTTTGATTCTAACCAAACGCTGTTGTTAATTTCGTAAATTTATCGAGGCTTTTGGATTTTTTTCATGGTCCGTCAGCGTAGATATTCGACCCACTGCCCCGACCAGAGTAGTTTTACTTTGACTGTACGTGATGTTCGCCTTGAGTGGTTCCTTGGAATCCGATACCAGAGCTTCTCAGCTAAACCCACTAAACCGGTTTCCCTTCGATTTTATCGGACCACAAGTAGATGCGCCGGAAATCACTAGAATTCTCCTCGTAAATTTTTCAGCTCTCTGCTTCCACCCTATTCGTTCTACTTGTTCTTTTTCTATTGTAGCCACCGCAACCTCGCATCCCGAATCGGGTATCACTTTTGATGCGACCAGGTGGGTCACGTGACTGCATGCGTGTCTACAGGTTACATGTCAGTCTTCTACCCTTTGTTCTTACATTGCGAAAGTGCAAGGTTGTATGGGCCTGACCTTCACGTCAGCTGTCGACTGCAGCACTATATGATTCGCTCCGTCTAGATGACCACGTGAAGTTAGAAGCAACCGCAGACTAGTTTAGCACTGCGCAATCAGTTCAATGCGAATATTACATCTATAATGAATAGGAGTAAAGCCGAAGTTGGGATATATCTGCGGTCCGTGATAAACCACTTAGGGCAAGGCAACTGGTATCGATTGTACCCCAAAAGTGCAATCCAACCAAGACTTTATGGCCTTTCAAATATCAATAAACTAGATGTCCCGGTGAGACCGATAGTAGACGGAATAGGTTCTCCACCGCATGAACTGGCCAGATTCTTGGCCGGTATTTTAAAGCCCCTCACCGGGAAATCTAGTACTTACATTAAAAATTCATATGACTCCGCCAACAAAGTAGCGGGTGTCACTGTTGAACCAGTTGACATCCTTGTAAGTTTCGATGTGAATTCGTTATATACAAATGTGCCAAAAGGGGATTCTTTAGAAATAGCCAAGCGATGGTGTTAGCGGACACCACCCTTTCAAAACGGACACAGCTTACGGTAGATGAAATAGTGGAAGGCATAAAAGCATGCCTGAATCTCACCCACTTCGTTTTTGACTCAGTGGTTTACACTCAAGAACGAGGTCTAGCAATGGGATCTCCAATATCCCCGGTTTCGACAAATATATTTATGAAAAAATTTGAACAGAGAGCTTTAGCCGGGTTCTCCTACCCACCTAAGATATTCTGGCGGTATGTAGATGACACCTTCGTCGTGAAACGGGACAAGGTTAGTGAGTTTTACAATTCTGAATAAACTGAGTCCACAGACCAAATTTAGTATGGAGATGGAGTCAACCTCGGGTACACTGGCCTTCTTAGACTGCATGGGGAGAGACTAAAGACCACAGTGTATGAGAAGCCAACCGACACTGGGGCAGTTTTGAAATACTCGTCTGCCCATCCGAAATCGGTATTCGCCAGTATTGCGTCATCAATGTTTAGGCGCGTGAGGGCCCTGTGCACAGAAGAAGCTGATCGGACAGCATCCCAAATTGAGGTAAAGAACAAACTTCGGGGTAGTCGCTCTGCACTGGTGCAATTGAAGGATCATCTCCCGGCAAACAGAACTAGGGACTGTGTCTACAGAATTAAGTGTAACGACTGCACCAAGGTCTATATAGGACAAACAGCCAGGGAACTACACATCAGAGTCGGAGAGCATAGTAGAAAAAATAAACAGACCGCCGAGAAACGCAAATGAATGTCAAACGTTACTGAAAGACTCGGCAATCGCGGACACGGGGTACAAAATAGACTTAGAAAATACTGAGGTTTTGAGGCGATGACTACGGTCCACCTCACAGAGACTGACAACAGAGGCGGTAGAAGTCGCCAAGCATCCCAGTGTTAACAGAATGGAAGGAGTGGAACTTAACCTTACGCACCTCCCTTCCCCGCAACTAAATTATCGTAACATTCACATGCCCACGAAGAGCAAGGATCTACCAGTGGCACCCGAGGTGAATAATCAAGTGAAGCACCCTGAAGTGGAAGATTAAGGAACGAAAAGCGATCGGAAGTAATTTGAAACTCCTCCAACCCACCTATTCAAGATTTTGACACCCACGCTAACCGACAAGAGCTGTTAATTGACACTCAACACTGATCTAGTGTGAAGAGGACTTACTGATTGATTCCCCGTCTGTCACATAACCTGGCCAATTTGGTGACCTGATGAAACTTTTGTGTTAAAAGCGAAACGTTGCCCAAATAAAAACTACCGATTGTTTACCAAGCTCTTCTGAAATATTGTGATATATGTTTATCCCGAAAGGTACACTTACCCCCTTCAAGTTCAAACTGCTATCGCTAGCACACCATGAGCAAAAACGCCGTTTCAGTGATCAGTTATTGGGCGAAGCAACTTCAGCATTGACTGTCCGCTTCACCAGACCGAACACTACTGGAACGCCAAACAAGATAGTGCAACACTGGTCCGACAAACTAAACTGGTTAAACGTACTCTGCATAGCTGTTCGTATGAGTTTCAGCGTTTAACAGAGCACACTTCTCGGTTTGCTGAGGCTACGTCGTGTTTGATGGATTTCATTCCAACGGAGTAGCAGTAGAGCTGGCGACTTTGCACAGCCAGAACTATTGGGACTGATTACGAGAAAACGCAACAGGTATCTGACGGCCTTGATTATCGGTTGTCACGATAGTGAGATGATTACTGTGGACGAGACACCGTAATGTGGCTTTGTGATTTGGTGATTGGGCTCTGTGCTGATTCTGCCCTAGCCGGGAGCACTTCGCACAGCATTACCATCATGTGGGTATGCTTCTTTCACTGTTTTGGGGAGCTTTCATCTTGTTGAGTGTAAGTGTCCGCTGGTACTGTCTTTTCTAGCGACTTTCTATCTATTAGTTCCTGTCGACGATCCGCTCGTATAATCAACTGTTTGGCCGTAAACTTTCGCTGTTGACATCCTATTATGCCTGTAAACATTCACCCAGTATCAGGTCGTACGTACGGCTCAAGGCGTTTTCATCCTCACGTGACTTCGTATTCCCCGACGTGATTCCAACTATAATTTGCCCGTTTCTGCGATTCTGTTGCACACCATCTGTCCCCCGATTTCTCCCCTGTTGTTCGATTGGGACGGCGCATACGGGCAGGCAGATGATTTGCTGGAATATCCGACCCATGCGTATTGTGAATTAAACGAATGAGAATGTTAGTTATAACGAAAAGAGGAAAACGTCGTTGTGTTAGGTAGTGCGTTGTATCCACTCTAGCCAGGATTTGGAAATGACCTAACGGAGGGTAACTTATCTATCTATCATTTTCTTCTAGGTATCCCGACAATGACCACAGTCCCTTGCCCAGTAGATAGCTGACGTTACGGACAGCACACATCTGGGTAGTCACTGCCTTGACATTCTGTATAGGTGGCCTAACCACAGAAGGTGATCCAGAGAAATTGTGCTTGGATTCTGTTCTTTGTTGTTTGCTTGCTTGCGGGCTGCAACAAACGAGCAAAGTGTCTCGTAAGCAGTGATGATCAACCGAAGACAATCCATTTAGTTCATGTCGAACATCCATTACCAAGACTTACCCCTGCCTCGCCTTCGTTCGTCTGAATATGTCATCAGTGATGAACTTCCGGAATAACGGAAACATCGGGAACCCTTGGTGAACGTCACTGGTTATCAGGAAGCCGTTTGTAATCCTTGATACGAACTGGCGCACTTCCCTACAGCGCCTATAAATGCTAAATAATTTGCTCGATACTTCGTTTTAGAAGATACAGTCCGCTGAAACGTACGGATGCATTTGGTCGGGGGTAGTCTCACTATACGGTTTAACTGCCATTGTCACTCTACGATGGATACTGAAAATGGGTGAGGATGTAGCCAATACAACTGCTTCGAAGCCGATTTGTTCTGTTCGACGCAGCGCTTCATAAGTGAACGTCAATCTACGTGGGATGATGTATGCACGTATCTTTTGTCTCATTCCTCCAGGGATTGGACAGACTATTGTTGAGTTCTTGTAACATGTTTCGTCCCTACAAAAGTGGCTCTATCTTCCTGCTCAAAAGGGCTTTTACCAACATGTTCTAGCTTGCAGGGCACTGTTGCTTGTGAATGCATAGCAGTTGACACTGCATGCCGCGCTCCGACGTTTCGGCGGACGATGATTGTCTTCTCTGGTGACATTTCTCCCGGAGAATGGCGACTCTTTAAAACATTGGCTTGTAGCACACAATGCAAAAGTCCGGTTTCCTCCATATCTTCAGCCTTTCAGCCTGTTGGAAATTCTAAAGTTCGAATACTCCACGCATTTTCTGGAGGGTTACGCAGCAGCACCCCGCTCTATTGATCTAGGGATTCTTCTTGAGTGGAAGACGGTATCAGATATATGGATCTGAAGTGAAGGCGTGTTCACAGTTTTGGTGGTCTTGGGTTTTTCATAACTCTGTCTACTGTTTGCAATTATTTTCAGTGGAGGATTCGGTTTCGATGAAATGCCATCCAACGAAGAGGGCGCTTGTGTGGAAGACGAAATTCCAGGTGAGGCTTGATTTTGTAGCGGCTTCGTGTGGAACGGCCAGTTGCAGTTGCTATCCTCTGTTGCTGTGCTTTCTCACTCATTGCCTACCTGGTACTCGTTGGGAAAGGCACGCTTGGTGAATAAGACGACGCCCTAACTTGTCTCGTTTTAATCATTCAGTGAGTTTCGAAGGTCTGTTGGTTGTGTGGTGAACCACAGACGAATCATACTTTTGTCTGTCACGTGACACAAGTCGTGCTAGCATTTCGAGTTACGCTGAGAAATACGTTAGTGTACTACGCTTGAGTGACCATTACGAGGCAAAGCAGATTTGGCCTCTTGCCGTCACGAAGAGACTGGACCTTACCGTGGTGTGGCGGTTTGTGTACCTCGGGGACCCATTGAGCCATACTGGGGGGTGTCCGCGTGACACTCGTAGAGTCTCTCATACCAGGTTGGTCAATGGTTAGAGGTCTGACGAACAGTCTCCTGGCCCTCCAGGTTGGGGGTTGGAACATGTGGCGACTTGTTCCGTAGAAATGCTAATGCATTTGCATTTCCCGCCAAACACCGCTGCCGTGCGGTTAGGCTTTTGAGCCAAAGGCTTTGGTTGAGGACCCTAATCGTCCTCCTGTCTAGGTGTGGGCGCCCCGGCAGTATTTCAGCCCTCGTACAACCAGTACGGCAGTGAAGCATCAGTGGCAACACTGATGTTGCAGTCTTTGATGGTGATGATGATGTGTTTCGTTTTTGGTCGTTGGCTTGTTCACTGAGCCGGGCAATTTGGTTGAACCATTTCCAGAACAGAATAGCCGTACTCGACTTATGCACTCATTTGCTTACCACTTTGGTTTTGACGGGAGACTCACCTGGAACCCAGCTGAATCATACGGGAATGCTCTACAAATCGGGTTAGGATTTAGTTGTCATCGCTACAGTTTTCGACTTATTTGCTAATGGCATTCCATCAAACCATTTTAAACGTGGGTGGAGTGAATCACAAGCTGATCTGTGAGAAAAGGTCTTTTCGTTAAATGAATCACTGTTACTTCAATCTGATGTGAACCATTACTGGGTTTTTATGGGAAGAAAGTGGTGTTCGTAATACACAACTCATGGGGTTGCTGAAGACTCTTCGACAGCCCAAGAACATCATAAACAAGAGATCCAGCTGAGTTTTAGCAGTCTCCCGTCAAAGATAAATTGCTATGCAGATGAGTGTATATGACGAACTTCATGCAATTTGGGTTCAAGTAATACATAAGGTTGACGAAAACTCGGGGACTGCGTCTACCTGTTGAGCCCCAAAAATGGCGAAGGCGGTCATGGACTGTCGAAGAGTTCTCAACAACCGTATGAGTAGTATGTTACGTTTAAATTCCGTCCATCCCATTTCATCGTTGTCAGTCCCCGCAACCTTTAGCACCTGTTATTTACTCGTTCGTGTGAGATAACGATATCTCAACTCCCTGCGAATGTACTTCGAAAGAATTGAGTGCGGTCGCTACCGGAAAGACACCCATCCCCATCACCCGTGCGACATAAGAATGCGAGGCAGCATTCTGATTTACGCTCTCGGGATAGCCGAAAGCATTGGGTTTTTTTTATCACATCCCCCAAAAGGAGCCATTTTCTGCATATATTTGTTAAATTTTCCGGTTTTGATAGTGGATTTCATGTTGCTAGATGGAGGCTCGGTAACACCCGAGCTAAGCAGCTGTTTTTATTCTTATTGGCGCTCATCAGTAGTATGCATCCCTTGAATTCCAAAGGACACCCAAACGCTGTTTCACGAGCTCACCATCATGTAGATTATACTAGTTCGTACGTCTTTCAGTTTTGTAGTGTCCATTGTTAAAACCAGTTTCGACAGCTGGTCTCCATCGTTCAAGGAAACCCGAGATTCATGCCAGGGTACGTTTATTTCCCCACTTCGCTACCTGTTATCTCACACCTGGACATAGTTACACTACATGCTGTGTTCTAAACTCGATTTTCCTTGTTACTTGGTTTTGTCACATCGTTCCCTTGTCAAGATGATACCCTCGGTCCGGCGGCTCCCGGCGATGAGCCCGGCGAATTCGGTAGGTTGCGATTACGCCAAATACATAATCCTATTTCTTGACATGGCTACGGCTGTTTGGCACTGACCCACCTGTGTGTTGTGGCTACCTGTTTCAGAGCCACCATGGTTTTCATCGTGTTCACGGACTTTGTCCTACTTTTGAATATAATTCCCATCTTTTGATGTTTGGTTTTTATCCTCTGACTTTAATCCTTCCTAAACTAGGGTGTTTGCTGACACGTGAGCCTCAGCGCGCTGATTAATTCAGCTAACCAGGATCTTCTCACTGTACCTCGCGCTCAGTTAACCTGCTAGATGGCTTCCGTGCAAATTTGATTGTGCAGATTTGTTTGTTTTATTTTTCACCCTTCCAACTGATGGACAAACTGCCGAAAACGTACCTGCTAAACCAGACGCTCTCTCTTACTTCTGACCAAGCTGTTTTTTGGCGTTTGCGCTAACCACTACTAGTTATTGATTGGTTAATCGACTTCCCAGATGGTCGCTTTCATCCCAGTTCATCTGGTACATTTTATCGGAGTCGGAATAGCCTCGTGATCAAACGTGATCATCGGCCGTCATCCCTTGTAAGCCCCCTAAACATGAGCACTGTGAAACCGTTGTCAGCGTTTTCGTTCGTATGCGTGAATAGGACACACTTTGCACAAATATTCCTATTCGGTGCACCGATTCTGTTCAATCTGTGAAGCTTTTGGCCTCCCGAATATCCAATTCGGCATCCCATCTGTCACTAACGTGTACACTCAGTTCATTGTCCGTAAAACACCAGACGGTACAATCCCTGATAGAACTGTAATAATCCCGTTTGTTATCCACTCTTCTCCCATTCCAGCTGGCATGTGGAAGGAAATCGATACACTGATCAAGGAAAACATGGAATTAGTCGAAACCAAGTAGGCTCACACTGCTTCGGTTACTGTTTTTGTTTCTCTGTCTCTTCGCTCGCTATTACTTATCGCATTATACGAATTTTACGAGTTTTTGAAGATGGATGTGACTGGGAATCTTTCGGTTTGGTTGTCAGTATCATTTTCGCGAATAATTATTTTTTCGCCGGTCACTTCGTCATGCTGAAGACGATATTTTAGGCAGATCAGGAGACCGGCGTGGCATTCGTTCAACTTGATAAGTGAACTGACCAGGTTCACTGATTTCACGTTATCCACACACGTTTAGGTATACTATTAGTCTCGTGACAATCTAGTTTCTATACACCAGAAATTTATGCTATGAAGAGGCTATCTGGGATCAGAGTAAACGATCGTGCGCGTTGTGTAGTCATCGTTGACTGCTACTCAGCAGCGCTGCTATCGTGATTTCTCACAATAAGGTTTAGGCCGATAATTAACTGCCAGCCATCCAGACACCCTCAACTGTTGTGGGTGAGGATTCTAATACAGTTAGCTGAGGTTGCCCATAGACTTCAGTTTGTCACAGTTCCGTTTTCGGTCCGGGGACGGCTTCTTCCTTCTGCGAAGTTTAAAGCCACAGGGATGAATAGCTGTTGAACCGGACTGTGAGGATATGTGAGCATCCGGCTTTTGAAGGAAACTGCAAGGAAATTTCAGCAAGACTGTTGGTGTGTTGGATTCAGTGGAGTGGTTGGTTCACGCCAACCTAATCTGGGAATGAATTTAATTCGTGAATGGCGTACAATCTGGGTCCAAGTGGCCGCGCCTACCTACAGTGTCCCTGAGGAAGGGCGAAACCGATTGTGGGCTGTCGAAGAGTATAAGTAGTGTGTTCCGTCTAGAGAGTGTACTGTGGTTTCTCGAATATCGTCCCAACTGAAACACAAGTGAGATGTGGATATATAGGGTTAGAAAATCAATCGTGTTCACTGTTTGGCACGAATATTCCGTTTTCACAACCCTTTGAAAACTTTTTCGAGTACTGAACAATAGTATGCACTTCACACTACTATTTTAGGAACGCGTTAAATGTGGTGAAGGACGATTTGTTGGCAAAAATCGATTCGCTGACCTTGTAAGTTCACCTGAACAACTATTAATCTTTCAAGCTGTGTCATGTGGTTTCAAATTCACCCCTTTCCGGTTATCTGCGTTTCATTATCTGCTCAATTCTATCCGAACTGTAGCTGCCCTCACTTGCAAACTGCCTGTGCGGTTCCCTGTAAATGAAAATAGATAATCGTCCAGCTGGTTCTTGTTTGGACGATCAACGCATTCTCTGCGCCAGAAAAGCTCTCTCGCTGTTATTCAACAGTCCGTTCGTATCTGAAGTTGGTCTTGCCTGACAGTTTGCCCTTGGCAACTGGTTTAATAAAACAAACTGTGGACTGGACTGGCTAGAAGTGACACGATCCATAGTCTTTGTCAACCATAATTAGTGCCTTTACAGTGTTGCCTGTGTTTTTCACTGCGGTAGATGTGATTCCCTTGCAACGTTCGTGTTTCGCATCCCCTAATTCCAATTTCACACATTTGGTTTCGGCTCTGCATTAGCAAGCTGAACCATGAAAAGGTTCCAAATGAAACCGAGCCATTCAACCTGGGTCGCTTGCGGGAGTCGTCTACCAGTCCCAATCTAATGCCGAAAAATCCCGCACCTTTATTATTGAGAGAGGATAAAACACGTTTATTGAGCATTGGGTTTCCTGTTGATAATGCTATGTATGCTTAGTCGATGGCCAGTGTATGTCTTCTCTGTGGTGTCCGACAGGGCTGTCCTCTTTCACCTTTCTTCTTCAACTTCGTCATTGATACGATCATGGAAGACTCACTACCAGCCTCTAATGCCTGTGGGGTCGAAGTGCTCCCTGGGCCTCCGCTCACAGATATCGAGTACGCAGACGACAT